GTAGGTTTAAGGATTAATATTTTTTTTGATAAATTTTATTTTTCAAACAGACAAGAGACGATCATTGAATTTAGTCTAGCGTGGATAAAGTAAATTAACCACTACAAAATAGAAAATATCTTTTTTAGAACAAGTGATTTTTACTTCAGAAAAATACGTAAGGCCCCGAGAGCTGTCGACTTTAGCTGTGGCGAGTTGAGCATTCATCCCAAAAACTTCTTGAAACAATAAAGCATGAGTTTTAAAGAGCTATAAATGAAGTTCTAAAGAGTTCAACAACCTTAACATGCTGATTTAACTCAGCCAGCACAAGTTACACATAATACAAACTTAGGAGCACAATTGTAAGAAAACGAGCGATGGGTATATAATCAGTGATTTAGCTTAAGGGAGGGATTGTTGGGTATTTGTTTTGATAGATTTTAATCACACAGTGAAGCTTGGCAATGACACAAGAATGACAGTTGCGGCAAAAGGAATAGTAAGGATGACTAGCATTAAGAGATCATGATTTATGAAACAACCAAGCATGTATTTTTAAAAACTATTGAAGTTTTAAAAGACAATTAATTACTCTTTATTTTTAAGCATGTATCTAAACTAATTCATCCATAAACAATATTAAGAAAATAAGCCATAGCTAAATAATCAATGAAAAAGTCGAAACCTACTCTTTCAAACTCCATTTTCAAGAGAGACATCTCACCCTAGAGCTCATATTCCGTTTTCAGAAGCTTGCTCTCTAACAAAGAAGCTAATTCATTCAATCTAGCACATTTACCTACAAGTAAAGCTTCACACTCAACTTTTAACAGTGCAATCTTCGGATCTTGAAGATTCTTTATATGAGCAATGTACCTCTGCAGTTTATGGAACCCCTGTTTCAGAGGTGCATACAATTGCGCTATTGCATTAGGAATTGCGTTTCTCCATGCTTTCCCATTTTAAAAAAGAACTCAATACTCCGACTTGACTGAATACAATAAATTTTTTAAGTTTTTTTTTTGTGAAGACCATAATGTTTTAAAGTAATTCCAACAATATTCAATCTTTTTGTATTAAGAAAGAAAATCGATTTTGTCCAAATTTTGAAAAGAAAAAAGAGTTGAAACTAATCTTTATGCTCATCTTACAAAGTGGTGGAATTTTCAAGATTTATCAATTTTTTAACTTTTGCACAAGTATAGTACACCTACATATTAAGCTTATGTTATCTTATTAGTCAAATAAAAGTGAGATCTCTTTCATTTTGGTTCTTTACCTCATATCATTTTCAAAAACCAATGATGATGACAAAGAAAAACTTTAAAGTAATATACTGAACCAAAATCAGCGTTATTTCAATTTATGCTTTACTGTATTTTCTTAAAAATATTGATTAATTGCGATTTACAACTAGGAAAATGAGTCTATCTAAACCGACTTTTATAGGATTCAACAGGTTTCTTAGTTATTTTTTTCATTAAAGAGCGATAAATAAAAAAATCATTTTTTAACAATTATATAGAGATGATGATGTATAATGGAGAGACTTTCTACGCTCTTCATCTTTTATATATAGCATATTATCTCCTTATTATGTTCTCTTTCACATAGATTTCACAATGACCAAGCAATATTATAACTTCACTCATTTTTGGTAATATGTGATATGAAGTAATCTTTAGTGTCTAATCGCTAAATTGCCAAGCCTTATCAAATATCTTGTTGATGTTATTGCCGATGAATCATACATACTTAATAAGCGTCCAAATTCGAATGTGCTTATTTGATTTAATCTGATTTCTTAGTTAAACCATCTAATTAAACCATATAATATAAACCATACATATTTAAACTTGAAAAAAAAATGTTCAAATATTTATAATATAATTTGATCAGAAAGTAAAATAATTTTAATATGTTAATTTGGCAAAAAAGTTTAAAATATTATAAAATAGAAATATCATATATATTTTAACCTACATAAAATATTTTAAATATTCAAAAAAATTATAGTTAAAGTTAAAACTTAGTTGATATATATATTTTTAGTTTTTAAAACCTCAATAAATATCCCATTAATTTATGAAATTTTATTTTATTTTAATAGCATACGAGTTGACCCGCAAAATTTGTTATCACATTGTAAGACAAGTGGATTGATGTTTTCACGACGGCAGTGGACGGTTTAGTCCATTTTGACACTCATAAATATGCAACTACATTCATAACAAAATAATCGTAAATTCTATTATAAAACCATATATAATTTACTTGCTTCTTATGATGTCGACATTGAACATGTATTCCTATGTTACACATATATGTCATATAATATAGTTCTTACAATCATAAATTCTACTAAAATCAAATACCACAAAATTAGTTTGTAAAATCACAATGCTCACAGAGTATTACTTAGTTTCGACATATAGATCATATATAAAACTAATCGTAATAGTAATGGTCCATTAATGCAAAATCAAACAAACTAACAAAAAAGTCAAAAAGTTTAACGACAAGAGAAAAAAAAAAAAGTCAAAAGGTGAAAATTTAACAATGGTTTTATTTACTGACAACGAACCCTCTTTTAGGCCCAGAGTCTCTTCCTACTCTCTTTCAAAACGAACTCGCCGTCGTATTCGAACTACTCGCCGTCGTTTTATCAGTCTCCGGCGATAACGGCGGAGGAACACCATGCTTCAACAATCCAACATCATCACCACCGTTCACATCAATCTCCACCACAACATCCTTCGAATCTTTAATCCCTTCCTTCTGAATCCCTTTCAAAATCTCAACGATCTCATCCATCGATGGTCGTACTTCTCTCTCTTGTTGCAAACACCGGAACGCTAATTCAGCAACCGACGACATCATCTTCTTCACCGAAGGATCTCTCGCGAATCCGAGTGATAGATCCGCGAGTTCGTGAACGGCGTCGTTTTGGATTTTCGAAATCGCCATGTTCGCTAGGTTAATATCGTGGCGGTGTCTGGTGATATCGACGGCTTCTTTTGATGAGATTAGTTCGGAGAGTACGACTCCGAAGCTGTATACGTCGCTCTTCTCGTTTAGACGGTAACATTGGTAGTACTCAGGATCTACATATCCCGGAGTACCTTGTGGTGCGGTGGAGATATGAGTTTGATCCGTCGGAAACAACCGCGAAAGTCCGAAATCGGCTACTTTCACTTGGTAATTGCTATCTAGAAGAATGTTAGTAGTTTTGACATCTCTGTGTATGATCCCTGAATCAGAGAAGTTATCATCACAAATCAAGAATCATTAGGAATCTCTCATTGTGTATGTTTCAGTTTGTGTTTACCTGAAGTGTGGAGATAGGACAATGCGCTTGCGGTTTCGATGGCGATTTGGAGTCGAGCAGGCCAACAAATAGGGCGAGATTGTGCTTGGTTTCCATGGAGATGTTCAGCGAGTGTGCCATTGGAAATGTATTCGTAGACTAGGAGTAACTCTCTGCTATGTCTTGTTGTGCATCCGTATAGAATCACTAGGTTCGGGTGTTTTAAGGACTTCAAGATCTCGATTTCGTTCTTGAATTGTTCCACGCGTTTTAGTGATCTTTCGAAGAGTCGTTTTACAGCTACAGCTCGTCCGTCTTTTAGTACACCGTAGTAGACCGTACCGAAGCCTCCATCTCCAAGCTCTTTAGAGAAATTCTCAGTGGCTTCTTCGAGTTCTTCGTAGCTGAAGACTTGAACTCCAAAGTAGACGCTTCCGTGTGCAAGGTTAGACATTGAAGGCACAAGAGAGTGATTGCTGCCAGATATTGTTGTGGAAGTTGGAGTGTTTGACATTGAGTAAGTCGTTGTTGTTGATAGGCCTTTGCTTGTGTATTGTGCTGCAAGTTTCTTCCTTCGCCGGATGAAGATACAGAACAAACATCCGCCTATAAGAGTGGCACCCAAGAATCCAGAAGCGAATCCAATGCCTAGAGATAGACGAAAAGACAAGAGCTTCGTATTATTATGCTGTTACTTAGGTATGTTCTACTGAAATTAGTTTCGTTGAAAGGAAAAAGGATGGACACCTACCAATTTTCGCTTTTTTGGAGAGACCTGCTTGAACATTTACCATGAGAAAAATGTTAGTTCAAAGTCAAGGCAGTTGTGTAGAATCGTACAAAAAACAAAGCTTAAAGAGGAAAGGAAAAGATCTGGTTCGTATGGAAGAAGATTAGCAAATCAGATTCAGACACACATTGATATTCATATTAACTTAAAGTTAGTTGGAATTTTCAGAGAAACAGAGCAAGAGGAATCATTACTCTTCTTTCTGGGATAGCAAGTATGCTCGCGAGGCTTATCTTTACAATAGCAGACGAATTTTGTCGAGCTCCAGCCACAAGCGCCCCCTGATGTTACACATCGGGCACACTCACTGTTAAAGCTAAGTTCAAAACCCTCATTAAAAACATCCTCCAGACGCTGATTTTTCTCTGTCTTCAAGACAGATTGAGATACTGGAATACCGACGTTTCTTTTACAAGATGCATTTAACTGACCTAAGATAGCTCTATCGCCAGAATGTGAAGGGGGCGAGACAAAGTAACTTCGCCTACCAATTTCGTCCTTACAGTTAAGCCGTCTAATGTAATCATTGGGTTGAACATCTACCATTGGATATGGGCAGTCGTAGTAAAAACTTGACAGCTTGGTGTCGTTAGAAAACGGAAGAACATCTTGGTTGATTGTTGCATTCTCAGGATACCGAGGACAAAGATTGTTGAGATAATCCGTTCTGGCAAGTCTTATGATATGTGACTCATAGTTCATCTCAAGGATTCGGAACTGCACGGAGGATATACTAAACTCTGCGAAATCTCGCCTGCAGTTGACCTCAAAATCTGGGTGACCGCACTCTTTTCTCTCAGGTGTCCAAAAGGGATAATAGAGATCTATATGATAACCACAGCTAAACGGATGAGCGCAGAGACTGTGACGCTCATCAACTGACAAAACACAAGAGGGGATCACACAGAGCATCCATATGATTGTATAGGACCAAGATTTTGTAAGTGACTGAATCAGATTGATCATGGTGCACTCTGTTTTTTTTGTTTTTTTTTGGAGATGAACAAGAGACTGAAGAAGAAGAAGTCAAAGACTGTTGAGGAATTTGGTAAATTGTGTTTGTCTAAGCCATGGTTTTATATGAGGTGAAAGAAAAGTAAGGTTTCTTTTTCTTTGTTGTTTATCTAATAGTAAATTTCCTATGGGAAATTTCTTTGGAATTAGGTGGGTTAGGAGGACTAAGTCTTCGAATAGACTGATAGACAATTAAGATATTATTTTGCTTGGTTGTTATTTAACTAATAACTTCTAATTTATTTTATGTTTGTAGGATTACCTAAAATGCTAAAACCAAGTGCCGGTGCAAGAACTTTACTTGGAAAAGTCAGGCAAAAAGTAGAAAAGAGGATAAAAATAGACTAATGAGGAAAATCTACAAAGGGGTTAAAATGGACTAATGAAGAAAATCGACTTGACCGTAATTTGGCCCTCCACTTTCTCTGTCGGTTTCAGACAAATGTCATTGCATCAAAAGGTATATGCAGAGGATGAAGAGTTGAACAAGGCAAAGACTCTTTAGTATTACCGTGGAAACTGGACGATGTTGATGATGGAAAAGAAGGAGACGATTTCATGGTAAAGAACATTTTCATACTCTGAAAATGACTTATGGAAATTGTTTATGTAAAGTTGCTGGAGACAGATCAAGACTTTTAGGGCGCTCAAGTTTTTACTTTCTACCTTCTCTCTTGAGCTCATTAGGAAGTAAGGTATGTCTTAACACTGCTAAAACCGACAGAGACACATTAAACGAAAAGAAAATTGTGACTTGGTTTAAGGTACTGTGAAAAGTGTTGTCTTAGATAACTTAGAACACCGAAGTATGAGCTGCGTTTCTTGGTGATTAGAATGTTTTATATGCTTGGGGATTTTTCAAATACGCAACGTAGGGGATTTTAGTTTCTGTATTTGTCATAGTGGAACTAAGAGGGTGTAGATCGGCAAGTCTTGTTGAGACTTTATGAGGAATATGTTATTTTCTGGTTTAGTCCTGTTGCATTGTAGTAATACTGCACAAGTTTGAAAAGGGAAAAACTTGAATGCTATACGTAAGAAACTTGCTTATAGTTCAGAAACTTACCAATATTAGATCCTGATGGAATCATTGGGATGCATTCGAGTTCTGATGACGAGTTTGTCTTGCAGCAAACCGGAGTTGCAACCTGGTAGGCGCAAATTCCACCAGTGGATTTACATTCTTTACACGGTCTCTCGTCAATACTCAGCTTCACCTCGAATCCTTTTTTAAGAACACTTTCCAAATTGGTTACATTCAAACCTTCCTCCTCTGGGGCATAACCTATCGGAACAGTGATGTTGAAACTCCCACCACAGTTATTGTGATACAAATCATCCTGATACATCAAGCCAACACCCTTATTTGGACATGTGAAATTCGCAGGATAATGAAGATGAGGGTTGCAGAGGTAGTAAGCGGAGAGGGTCTTGTAGTCCGGCAAAAGCTCAAAGAGTTCAGGAGCCAACGTTGCACCGCTGAATGAAGCCGAGCAGAATGGACCTGAAAAGTCTTGCCTTACTAATTTAAGAGTAGTACTATTTGTGATATTTACTTCGAGAACACGGTACATCAGACCTGAGATGATTAGAGAAGTCGAAGAAGTCGAATTCGATTGTTTATTGCAGTGAAGCCCTAAAGATGGATGACCACAAGGTTGAGGCCGAGCCACTCCCCAGAAAGGGAAACCGGCTGTGAGATTCCCACAACGAAACAGAGTATCACATGGTTCTCGTTGACTTAGAGCACAAGGAAGACAGTTAAAGAAGGACAAGAAGAAGAGAAGGACCAGAAAAGAATTAGGTTTTGAGAATCTGAAGAGTAGTGGAGAGAACATGATTGATATCTGAAAAGTAGTTTCTTTTTCTGGAGTTGTTGGTTCGAGTTAAAGCAGAGTAGATAAATGATTAAACGAAAATAAACCAGAAAAAAAAAAAAAAAAAAAAAAAAAATCAAGTGGAGACAGAAAGAGCTATTGGAAATGTCGAACCACGACTAAGTCAAGTTTGAGAAAGACAGATACTCATATTCTAGACTTGGATAAGTAAATGACACGTCTTTGTTAGTTGACTTTGGAATACTTTTCTTTGTTTTATTTGTAAGTCATCCAGAAAAAAACTTAAAAGCCATTCACTGTGGAAAATCTTGTTAACGTACAAGAAAAACTATTTCAGACAAATATTTCTAGGAGGAAAAGTGATAGAGTTTGAATGTAATTTTATTCATACTGTGTTATGTAGAAATAGCATTTTACGTTTATGTATACAAAAATATGACAACAACTATAAGAAATATTAAACGTTATTGGAGTATAGAAATTGGCTCACTCTAGTCAATGAGAATACATTATTGGCTAATTAATTATGTAGAATTAAAGTTAGAAGGTTGACTTCTCTGGCATAGACTTCATATCGATAGAATCATAGAAGATATCGAAGATGAGAGAGCCTTTGGATCTGTGAAGAAAGATGAGTGAAAACTTCACATAATTAAAAAAATAAAATCACCTTATACTTTATGACTCTGCAATGTGTAAATCTAACGGATATATTATTCTTTTTGTACGAATGTATTAGTGTACAGAGGAACATATCTTAGGAGAATTCACTACAGGCATGAGTTGATTTTCTGGAAATTAAAGCTATTGATCATTGCATAATAACAGTTGACACAATAAATTAAGGCGATGAACCATAAACATCATCTGCCCACTGCATTAATCAAGGTTCCTGGGCTTTAAATGGAATGGGCCGATCTGGGCCTGTTTGGCCCATCAGAACATCTGCTTGAATCAATAGCATCTCTCTCTTGCAGATTTATTGGTCTCTCTACCACCTGCAAACGCTGCGTTTATGGGCAATTGCGGTTTCTAATGTTTAAAATTAATATAGAAATCACTTTAAACCGCTCGAAGTCACTGAATTTTAAAAGCTCTCAAAAGCTTGCGGGCGGTACCATGTGTCAATTTTTTTTTTTTTATAAACCCTATATATATTAAAAATAAAAAAACAGCAAATAAATTTTTTTAAAAATATCAAACAATGTATATATTAACGTTAATACTCGAAACCCTAATTTTTCTCTATCAAAATCATGGCGTCGATCCAAACTGAAGAATGACAAGATACGAACGCAAATATTGTAACAATATTATTTATCCGGAAGATCTACGAATTGAAAACATAGTTTGTCCTATTTTTTTTTTTTTTTTTGTAATTTGCCATATTAGTTTATACAGTTTTTTTATGAACCAAATGCATGAAGTAGTAAGCATTTAACTATGAAATTTATTTATTTTTGAATAATGATGTAAAATTTTATATATGTTTTATTATTAATTATATTTAATTTTTTATATTTTATCATAATAATATAAATATTTTGTGTTTTATATTTGGTGTTTTTATACTTTATATAATTATAAATTATATTTATTTTGGTCATTTTTGATTTAACCGTTGTCGCACCCGCTGATTAACCAGTCATAAAACTTCTACAAATGCACCAATTTTCAACCGCTAAACCAGTCGTTCAAAATGTTTAATAACACTTGAAACCGCAACTGTCCGCTTCCGCAAACTACTGTAATCGCAACCGCACCCGCTGTTTATAAATCAGTCAGGCCCTAAGTGGAATTAACGTCATTCTAATCGTTATCAATAAATATGCAAGGCAAAGGGGTGATTAAAATGGCGATAATCCTAAATTTTTCTATATATGATTAAAATTGTGTCAATTTTTTATTATTATAAACCCTATATATATTAAAAATAAAAAAACAGCAAATAAATTTTTTAAAAAATATCAGACAATGTATATATTAACGTTAATACTCAAAACCCTAATTTTTCTCTATCAAAATCATGGCGTCGATCCAAACTGGAGAATGACAAAATACTAACGCAAATATTGTAACAATATTATTTATCCTGAAGATCTACGAATTGAAAACATAGTTTGTCCTACTTTTTTTTTTTTTTTTTTTTTGTAATTTGCCATATTAGTTTATACAGTTTTTTATGAACCAAATGCATGAAGTAGTAAGCATTTAACTATGAAATTTATTTATTTTTGAATAATGATGTAAAATTTTATATATGTTTTATTATTAATTATATTTAATTTTTTATATTTTATCATAATAATATAAATATTTTGTGTTTTATATTTGGTGTTTTTATACTTTATATAATTATAGATTATATTTATTTTGGTCATTTTCGATTTAACCGCTGTCGCACCCGCTGATTAACCAGTCATAAAACTTTTACAAATGCACCAATTTTCAACTGCTAGACCAGTCGTTCAAAATGTTTAATAACACTTGAAACCGCAACTGTCCGCTTCCACAAACTCCTGTAATCGCAACCGCACCCGCTGTTTATAAATCAGTCAGGCCCTAAGTGGAATTAACGTCATTCTAATCGTTATCAATAAATATGCAAGACAAAGGGGTGATTAAAATGGCGATAATCCTAAATTTTTCTATATATGATTAAAATTGTTTATTTTAATTTTGTACACCATTATTATAGTTAACTAGGCTTTCGGATATTCGGATCGGTTCCGATTCGATTCCATTCAGTTCCGGTTCTTTTGGTTATAAAGTTTATGATCTAATCGGATATATTGAAAAATCTCGATTTGGTTTCGATTTTGGTTTAGATATTTTCTTTTGGATATTTTTGGGTATTTTTGGATATTTTTGGTATTTTCATATTTTTCAAGTATCTTGGTTATGTGGTCTAAAATAACTAATATTTTGGATATATGATTGTATCGGAAATTTTCGGCTATCCGAAATATTTAAGTTCAGTAGCGGTTCCGGTGTTAGAATTTTGAATCTATTCGAGTATGTTAAATTTTCGGTTGGGTTTTTTTTACTTCGGTTCCGGTTCAATACTTTCAGTCGGTTAGTTTGCAGAGGACTCATGGAGTATACCCAGTAGTATATCTATCTTCCATAATTCATAATAAATGTGCTAGTTTCACAAAACGTTTTTTTTTTTTTTTGTCTAGATTTATTATTAATTGCAAATTATGAGAACTGTTACATAGACGATTTTACAACTGACAATTCCTTCCGATCCTTACTAGATCCACAACAGACTACACTTCCTTCTTCGTGATCTTGATGAATACCTTCAATGATCCACGACCTAGCGACACTTCCTTCTCTGCGTAGAATCCTGGCGAACGGCTATAATTGTACATCGCTGGAGATCTCTTGCACACTTGTCTTCATTAATCTGCAAATTTGTTAATAAATCGCAATATCTGGGATTCGAACCCCAGACCTCTTCGTGTAAAAGCATTAATCAACCCTTAGTCAACCAATGTGACAAAGGAGCTTCTACAATCACAAAACGTTTAAACCATTTACATCAGCAATATTAGCCAAAGCAAATCATGAAAATAGTTGTAATTAAAAAAAAAATCGTTGGCAAAACATCTATGACTGTTAGATACCATTAAATTGATCACACACGCGTTACCATTTTCACATCTTTTGACCAAAATATTTCAAAAAAAAAAAAAAAGCAAAATTCACAAAAGTGGCCTTTTTTTCTTAAAGCATCCTCTGCATGCGTTTCATTCATATGAAACTCACAGATCCCTCAAGCATTCATTGACATTGCCTTGAAGCTTTCTCTCCAAAACTTCTCCACAGATATTACCCATCAAATGATAAAATGCCATAAGCTCTGAGAGTTGCTCTATGTTCATTTTGTTCATCATGTTCCTCGCCATCCTCTTCTTATCCTCGTCTACTTTCAACTTTTTCATATATGATCCTCCGTTTCTCACCGTCGCTCCCATCTCCTTCAGCCTCATCTCTTGCTCCGCGCTCAGCGCCGTGTTGGACTACACCAGACATAAATGACCAACTTAGCAAAAAGATACAATAATACTTCAACTATGATAAACCATGAGTCAAGAAAAAACTAAAAGTAGGACATCACTAAGGTTGTTGTGGTGGTCTGGTGGGTCACAATCCCGTGGGCTGGGCCTAACGATCGGATCGCATGAAGGTCCGTTTTCTACTTTTCAAAACCCGTCCCACATGTTTTGGTCTAAACCCATTAAAACGGGTTTTGACCTACATGCATGTCTATGTCATTATCCCACATGCATTTTTTGTTTCCCATGTGCCAAAATCAGAACCGGCATGAAATGGGCTGGTCTGTTCCGAGCCGCTTTAGCCCATCATAACAACCATAGACATCATCTAAAATGGATGCTAAATATAGATATAAAAAACTGACTATTATATGTGACCCTTAAGGACAGCGAAAGGCCAAACAAGTGTCTAAAAACCATTTTGCCTCTTGTATAAGGAATCAAGATTATGTGAAGTTAGGTAGAGAGATTTAGTGATCATTTACCTCAAGAAACTCGGCTCCAACTTCGAGTTCTGATTCTTTTGATGGGTTCTTCCCAGGAGAACCTCTAACGTACATATACTTAGCAAGTGAG